CTGGAATTGTTTCGAGAAAGACTGCCCTAAAGCAAGGTTTCAATTTCCTAGAACATACTCAGTAATAATAAAAATATTATGGGAAGAAAAACATACTCTGCAGAAATAAAAGTTTGGTTTATTTTGTGTTCCTTTCTGCCCATATTTTTTCAGGGTTGATATTCCTGTCATGTACAATAATCTGGATGCATCTCAAGATGCTACTCTGTTTTCCCAAGACACTCAGAACCAGGAGGATTCTTTGTAAGTAATAAGTACCAGAAGAGAATTTCAGAAGGTTTTGTATTTTTAGTGCATCTTAACAAATGGTCTTTGTTGTAGGGAGAAACCAACTGTAGTTGACATGAAGGGAGATCATGGGAAGAACGAGAACAAATTAACACCCCAGGTATATTTCTGTGTTGAATGTTATTTGTGTTTGGGGGAATGGCATTTTTAGAGCTTTCTTGATGAAGGATTTATAGGAAAGGATTTTACCTCAAGTAAAGCAGTTACATTTTACAAAACTTTAGCAATAAAGCAGGCTCCTGAAATGCTATTGAAGAAACACTATAGTATTGTATTTGAGTGAGGTTAGAACATAGTAAGTTACATGTAGAATTATCTAAGCATGCATGGTTTGGTAATCCTGTGGTTTTAGGTCTTCAATTGGAAAAAAATTCATTTAGTCCTTGATAGAGCTGTTTACATTTAAATGGAGCAAGCCACTAGTTTTTAGAAACTAGAGAAATATTTTTGTATAGTTAAACCAAATTGTTGTTTTCATTTTTTTATTTTCCATTGTGTTCTGATAGTTTTATTACAGCTACCCCAAACACTATTCAAGACAGGATAAAAAAAAATTACTAAAACAAATATCTTCCCAAGTACTTACAGTGTTAAAATCTTGTTAAACAGTTACTTTGTTCGGAGACTAGAAATCCCACAGAATGTTTAATGCAATCGTTTTAGAGGGAAGGTGGTATATGAATGATGCAAGCAGTAAAGTCATTATAACACTTAATGTTGTAAATTGTTTAACTACAGAATGGAGAGGCAATGAGTCATCAGCTTGTCATTCCCCATGAAGTAATTGGAAATTACAAATCAGATGTTTCTCCAGAGAAAATTAGTTCTACCACTACTGAACAACTTAAGAACCTTAGGAAACAGAAGATGGATCTGAAGAATGAGGAGTTGAATGTCTGTGTTCCAGGACAGTCTTCAATATTAGATACTACTTTGAATGAAAATCCTTCTAATTGCAGCAGCAGCAGCAGCTCAGTTTCTAGTGATATAATTTCAGGAACACCACAGCCAGTGAGCAGAAGGCAGTCTTTCATAACATTGGAAAAATTTGATGGCTTAGAGAACAGACCTTTCAGTCCTTCAACTTTCAATAATAATTCTGTAACATGTGGGAGTATTCCTTCGTTAATCCAAAAGGAAAGCACAGTTGTTTCAGATGTCTCTTCAAAAGAAAAGTCAAACACGGAGAATAAAGATTCTTTGAAACTCAAAACAGAAGAAGCTGTCACTAGGACTAAAAAGACTTGCTTAGAATTCTTAAATGCTCTACAGACATGTGTTAAAGCAAAGAAAATGAAAGAAGAAAATAATACTAATCCAAAATTGCAGTCTAATAGCATGATTGGGATAAAGAAATCAAGTCTTAGGCAAAATAAAACTGACTCTTCAGAAGACAAAAACTCAAAACAAATGCAGTCAGGCCAGGAGGAAAAACTTCAAGTTTCTGACAAGCATTGGGAGGATAAGCATGAATTATCTGTGGAGGGGCAAGTAACAGAACATTTACTAGACAATCAGCCTCAGGTTCCCAGTGTCAGTGTAACTGGCAGTACAACAATGGAAAGTAAACCCCTCCTGGACATTGTTCCAGAGGGAAATGCAGGGCCAAATTTAGAGCACAAAGAGAATACCCCTCCAGAGATAGATGTTTATGAAGAAGCAATATCTAATGTTAACCAAAGTGCAGAGATTTCGCTTAATCAGAAAGCATTAAGACGTTCTTTAAGACGAAAACCAGAAACTGATGGAACTGTAGATAGCCAAGACAAAGAAAACAATCAACAAAAAAAGGACAGGCGAAAAGATGATGAAAAGATTCCGCCAAAGAAGATGACACAAAATAGAGAGACGTCTGGGCAAAAAGAAAAGGCTATACCTGAAAAAACAATAGATGCAACAATAAGTGTGCATGTAAGCAATGCTACAGAAAGTATAAACTCAAAAGAGTGCCACGCTTCAAAGAATATCCAGGAACAGTTGAACACAAGTGTTGGGAAATCTGAAGGCAATCCTGCATCTGACATTGAAGAATCAGGCCCAGATACAACTGATGAGAAACCAAAAGTATTTCCACGGTATCATACAAGAAGAGCTTCACAAGGATTACTTACCAGTATAGAAAACTCTGAATCTGATAGCTCTGAAACAAGAGAAGAAGGATCAAAGAGGAAAAAGTCTGGAAAACTGAAAAAAAATTATTCCCCTGGGAACCAAATGAAGGAAGAGCCAGAAAACCAAGAGCTTTGTTCACAAACTACAGTAGAAATCCAGGCCATGTCAGTAGGAAAACATAAAATACATTCTGGGGGAGAGATTGAAGTGGCTTTGATTTCTAGTAATACGAAGGAGATCAGTACAAAGGAAGAAAAAAATACTCTCCCATTGAGTGCCTGTTTGGACCTTAAACAAAATATAGGCACTATACATTGTAGAGCCTCTTCAGATACAGAGAGAAAGCCTACTAACAGGATAGAATCCACTTCAGAACCTATTTTAGAAAGTAGGCAGGAAACTAGTATTCTTGACACAAATTCTGTTGCATATAACAACTCAAATGGTGCTTCAGGAGATGATGCTTCTGCTACTGCTATAAGTGCCTTTCCTTCATCCAAGAAATTTCTAGATGTATCTGAATGCCAGCACAAAAGAAGCAAGCGGGCAAGGAGATCAAGGAGCTGCGACTGCTGTGATGAAAAGTTATCTCCCCGAGTGGAAAAGTTGCCCTCTGAACTGAAGAAAGCAAGCACTCCAGAACCAAAGTTAAAAGAACATAAAAGGATACTCAGCAAAGTAACAGTGGCCCTGACATCAATTCCTACTGCTGAAGATGTTCATTTGGCAGAGAGGCTGAGTGCAGAACCTTGTGCAACAAGCACCCCACTGCCTGGCATTAAGGACTGTGCTGATCTGAAAGAGGCTAGCAATGTTACTGAATCTGTCGATGGGGTACCAAGAGACAGTGCACCAAACATCGAACCTGAGAAATCGGCATGTGTCCAAAGTGAAAGTGACAAGCCAATTGCAGGAATTCTGGATTCTGTTCCTTTCACTGAAGCAATTTTAGAGCCAGGTTCAGTGGATTCTCAACTCAGTGCTCAGGGTCAGCGTTTAGAACCAGACACAGAATCAGTTGCTACAATGGAAGGCAGTAATAAACAGAGTGGTCCGTTGGAAAATAAAACAGATGCAGAGAGCAGAATTAACCCATCTGAGGGAACACAGGCTAGTGAAAGAGTCGTTCAGAAAACTGTAGAAGAGACTATTGTAACGTCTGCAACTGTGGTAGCAGAACTGCAAGAAAATGAGATGGGTGAGGAAAAGGATGCAGAAAATAATACAGCAGACACACCAAGTGAATCTCAAGCCTCAGTCTTGTTACAGAAGAAAAGTAATAACTTGGATTCTCCACCAAAATGTAAAGAACTTGATGCTCTGTCTTTAGCCAAGGTCAGTAGAAGTCCCACTGGAGCACAGGCTCGCTGTGTGTGGTCCCCATCAGCCTCTCCTTCTACAAGTATTTTAAAGAGAGGCATAAAAAGACAACAAGAGGAGGATTCTCCATCGCCTGCAAACAAGGTATTTTAAGCTATTTGAGCTATTTTACATGTGATTCTTTGCATATTACACATGCTCCTTTAAACCTAAATATATTTTTCCTTTCCTTGCTATAGTTGAAATCCATGATATCTGTCAGCCTCTTAAGCTATTAAAATCTATGTGGCTTGCTTGAAGCAATAAAACTTCAAGACTTTTGGGTGCAGGGAGATATTTTGATCAAGTCTGAAATTTTCTTTTCACATCTCATTTGATTTATAGGATAAGTTACGTTAATGTAATTATATAGCCACTTGAATCTTTATATCCAGCTTGCACATTTTTTATTCAAGAAGATGTTGTTTATGCCTGACTTGGTTGGACATTTGAAGTAATTCAAACAGAGCCTAAATAAAGTGCTAATAGCGCTCAAATAATAATGCATTGGCCACAGCCCCAAATAATTTCGTTCTTTAATAGGTTTGAGTATGTAAAAATATGCCTTCGAATTGCCACCATGGTTAGTGAATATTGTGCATAGAATTTAAATACTTAAAATAATATTTTCCTTCTCTACTGGTATTTGCAGTTTTGTCAGTTTTTATTTAGAGACTCTAATGAATAAAAATAATTAAAATTTTTGAATTAGTTTTTTGAAATTCCAATATGAAATGGCTTGTCATGCTTGTCGTAGACTGCTAAGTTTATAACAGCCCTTGTTTACTACAGGTAGTCTTTGTTTAATGACCACAATTGGAACCAGCAACTCCGTCGCTAAGCGACATCATTAAGCAAGATATCACATGACCGCAACTTGCGATTTTACTGCTGGCTTCTCCATGGACTTTGCTTGTCAGAAGCTGGCTGTGAAGCATGCAAATGGCGATCACATGGCTGCAGGATGCTGCAATGGTCATATGTGTGAGGACTGGTTGTAAAGTTACATTTTCAGCACCATTGTAACTTTAAACGGTCACTAAACAGGGCAGTTGAGGACTACCTGTATTCCACTTTGTGAAACTCAAATGCATATGTCTTTGTTAAAGCTAGTTACATGCTGTTGTAGTAAGTACAAAGACCACAAAGAGTTTACAAAAGGAAAGTGTTCAAATGTTTGTCAAAATTTGGCAGTATCTTTCTGTCCAAAGTATGATGTAAATCCATGGTCTCAAATGTATAACCTGAATTTCAATGAAATGTGAAAAAGGAAGAAGTTCATAATTGTTTCCTCTCTTAATTATGTGCTTCCTGTCACTTTATTAGCGGTATAATTCTATATAAGTCCACTCAAATAAGTTCTGCTTCCATAAGGAAATGTGTTTAGTATTACAGCTTAAAACTATCACTGTAATATTAAGACTTAATTAATTCATTTGCCATTGTAGGTATATGACTTTCCTGGGAGAGCATGTCTGCTTTGTGGGAACTTAGATAAATTTGCTTTTACCAAAGATACACATTAGCACATTTATGAAGCATGTCATAGATTTCTATGTTTTTTTCTAGATAATACTAATGCTAATTGTTTGTTTTCATGGAAGCTTTCATATATGAACAAAATTTCCATCTATTTTGCTTGGGTGTTTTGATGTATCTGTATTTTAAGTAATATCATGAAGGCAATAGGAACTTCCATTCCATGAAATTTTAGCCTTTACATTTATGTGATATTTCAAATTTATTTAAATAGTAACTTTGCCAAATATTTGTGAACAGAACCGAAGAGTCTCCTTTGCCAATCCCATCTACCAAGAAGAATTGGCTGATGACATTGACCGGCGAAGTCCTGTAGTTAGAACTCATCCCTGTAATGGCACTCAGTCTTTGCGAAGTGCTAAATTTTCACCTAACCACCAAGCCAAGGTAGTATCTGGGTTGTTCTTAATTTTTCCTTAGAAAATAATCTCAAGGATGCAGGAGCTTTGCAATGAATTAATCTGTAGAAAAGCCAAATCTTGGATTCTGAGAATCCTGTGCATAAGCAAAAGTCCTCCATTTACACACTATGATTTTTCTGTTGCGGATCCAATTTGGCCAGTTACTTTCTGGAAGCCTTTGGGACTTGCAGATCACCATGCAACACAACACAAGGAAATGTGTAGTTGTGAGACAGACATGCCTATATATGTACCGAAATGCCTTTGTTCATATAGGGTGTGTTGACTCTAAGATTAAATGTTAAGTTGAACCAAGTTGGTGTGAAAAGACATACATGAATTAATTTTCCTACTGCTATTACATGGATGTCTCCATACACCAAGTGGAAAAGGAATGTTGGAGACTCACCTTGAAGTTTCTTTCCTGTTGATGTGACTGAGGCATCCATCCCTTGCTTTTTGAATTAGACTTTGGGTTCGCTCAGTTATATTGTTATCCTTGGGTGATTTTCACGTAGTTGTTCCTTCTACTATTTTGTCATGGAAGGACCAGCTGCCTGACAGGAGAAACCTATGAGACCATAGCAATCAAAGCTTGGTCATGTATTCCCTGTCTGTCCCATTTGATGGGAGAATTAACCCATTCTGTAGATGCCACAGTCATTCCCACAAGAAGGAGTCTTCACTGTGAGTACACAGTGTTCTTTTTTCTAGTTGAGCTAGTTTGCTGAAGAAATATTAGCTGCCACTGGAAACATGCTTCCTTCCTTTGAATTGGCCTTTTTCTTAAATAAAGGACCCCATTTTAGTTACACTGCTTAAAAAAATAATCATGGGGTTGTAGATGGTTCCTATGATCCTGAGCAAAGTTTTTTTCCTCTTTTCCTATCCAGCTTATAACCACTCCAACCAAAGGATCTCTGTCCCCTGGAACTCGTAGCCATAAATATAAGAGCTCAAAGAAGTGTTTAGTAAGATTTGCATCCATTTTATGTATCTCATCTCAATTTCTCCCATATTCAGTTCTTAAACTTACCCAAATTAATTATTTTCTCTATTGCTTAAGATCACAGAAATGGTCAAGGAACCAGTGCCAACACCTACAGAAAGCATATACCCTGCCCTGGTGGGCTGTAAAGCATCTGTCGACACAATTCTGCCTCATATTACTTCTAATACTTGGTAAGTAGGAAGTCATTGAAGCAGTTTGTCCTGAAAAAGTTTATGTGCCAGATACTGGCTTAAGTGTTTATATGTTTATGCAGTGCTCCTAGCAGGTAGAATAATGTATTCATATATGAAGTTAGTCAGTAGCTGCATAAAAGGAGCAAGCACTAGAGGTCAGGAATCAACATTTGAGGGGTACATTGCATTCCTGAAAGAATCTGTGGTGATTGTTGAATATTCATGAGAATATAAAGTTACATTCTTCAATATAATGAACGTCAGTGTATTGAACTCACCCATCTTTTTTTCTATAAAGATATATTGCCTGTACCATGTTGAAAATACAGACGGCTGAAGCAGCTGAGGAATATTTTTGGGTACACAGAAAATGTATACAGAGGCATCCCATTCTTGTTTATATCAGCAGAAAGCTCAAAATGTGCCCATATGAGTTTTTTAAAACGCAGCTTCCTCTGCACAATGTGAATATTTCCTATTCTTAAATTCATCCTGGTTGATACAAAATGATTATAACCTGGAAGATTTTCTTTGAAATTGGAATAGGAGATAAAATGCCCTTTTGGGCATGTATTTTGAGCAGAAATGTTGCAACCTTGTATTTTTGGACTACTTGTTTCAGGATTGTAACCTAAAGCATCACCCATTTCTGCAAAAGTTTCTTATATTGGTGACCAGGGGAAAACATGCTATCTTAATATATACATAAAGTTGTAATCTCCATTGGATAAGAATCTGTACTGAAGTGAAAAAACACTTTTTAGATGGTAAGATAACTTTTTCAGTAGTAGATTAGGTTAAATCCTTCTTTCCTTTATCTTTAGGGCAAGAGGGCTGGTACAACTGATTCGAGCAAAGAATATCAGGACGGTGGGTGACTTGAGTTCTCTGTCCGCAGCTGACATCAAAACTCTTCCTATCCGTTCTCCTAAAGTTTCAAATGTTAGAAAGGCTCTTAAAAGCTATCATGAGCAACAGGTAAGTTTATTGCATTTTAAAATTATAATAAGCAAAAGTAAAACTTGCCCCAATAAACATTTCTCCATGGAAATGAACAATGGGAGAAACAAACTAATTCTTTAAATTATCTGCAACTTGTAGTTTGTGGATGATGGGAGAGGAGTAAGGAGGATATCTTTGTTTCTAGTTCTTCTTAAAATTCCCCCCATTGTACTGAATAGCACCTGAAAGGCTTAAGTTTGGAATGAGTTCCATACCTCAGCACTTCATTGTTATGCAGCAAAAAAAGGACTTTCACCCTCCTTATTGTAGTACAAGAACAGGTCATTTTAAACCCCATGATCTTTATCCCCTAATCCTGTTTAATTTCCCTTTACCCCTTCTTTTCTAAAATTTATCCAGCCTCAATCACCCTCAAGCCTGTGTAGATTTTTTGAGCCATTTTATTTTTTACCTCCTCATATAACCAAACGATTTCCCTGGCTATGGAGAAATCCTTATTTTATTGGTGGCTTGTTTTATTGCTAAGATTTTAGGCACCCAAGTTCAGAATTAGAAGGAATTAATGCTATTAGCTAAAACATTGTAGGGATTTTGGCTTTTCGTTATTTAGTCTGAAAGTTACTTTAAAAGAATAATTTAGTCTTCATAGAACTCTGTTTGAAGCCTTCCAGAACTTACAGGGTGCCCCCTATATACCACATGTGGTTCTAGACGTGGTTCCTGTTTTTCTTCTCAATTGTTGACTGCCACTACAGTAGCATGTTCCTTTGAACTACTTTAGAACATTTAGCCTTTGACTTCTTCTACAGTTAAACAATTTGTCTTTGTGTCTTCTTCTTTTCATGTGCCTTTTGTTAACATTCCCATGGGTTATTGTCAGTGGCTTCGTTCTTAGGATTCTTGGCAAATGTCAGCTTTGCAGAAGCAAATTCTTTTTCCAAAAACAGTAATCCTTGTCTGCTATGCCTTGGCAAAGTTCATATTGCAAACCTTGCTACCTTGTAGCTATTCATCATGATTATGAGTAGCTCTCTGGGAATAAGCACTGAAGGTACGTTCTCCTTGAACGCTTTGCCATCTGTCAGTACTGACTGCCTTCTATGGCTCAGGTAATCCCAGAGCTACAAAGCCAGTAACTGATCCACTTCTGTTTAACATCTCCAACCTCAGCTTAGGCTGCTGATCCCAGTATGATGCCTCCATCTATTGAGAAATCATATGGTGTCAGTCAGCCGGTCAAACATAATTGTAGGTCACTGATCCAGACTTCATAAAAAAAAGAAAAAGAAAAAAATATAGTATATAGTAAAAATTACAATGTAGCATGCATAATAAAAAGGCTTGTAGTCATTCATACTCTACATTGCTGGCAACCAATGCTAATTCTACAGGCTACAAATGTAAACATTGCAACTGCAACAGTTATATTGGGATCTTTATCTGCCAAAGAATCTGCCCGTTCCTAAGCCGTCTTTAACTCAAATTTGTATGTAAGTCAGAATTCATACTTACAAGCGGGCTGCCTGTTACTAAAAATGGTGATTGGCGTTTTTCCTTGAGCTGACAAACCACTGAAGCCGCACAATCTTTTCATTAACTTCTGAAAACAAGCTGTACTGAATATTAAAAACACTCAGCTTCAGCGGTTCATGAAACCATTGCGTGGCTTCAACGGTTTGTCAGCTCGAGGAAGGGGAATGCTGACCGCCATTTTTAGTAACAGGCGTCCCATTCGTAAGTATGAGTTGTCCATAAGTCAGATGTTCTTAACTCAGGGACTGCCTGTAAAAGCAATCCAGTTGCTGTCATTTCTGTGAATTTATTCCATTCCTTTTCAATAAATTTTGTTAAAGGAAATTTGTGGACAATCTTGTTTGTAGCTACCACATGCTTGAGATCTTTGTTTCATTGGTTACTGTGAAACAGATGTACGTCTTAACAGTTATGTCTGCCAGGCAAGCTAGTGAGCTCTGGCCATGCTTATTTTGCTATGCATAGGGATAGGTTGGTCCTCCAGCCCAAGATTTCATTTTTACCTGAGTTTGTGTCTTTTTCATTTAATCAGGGCATCATTTAACTGTATTTTTCCTAGTCATGTTACATGGTTAGAGCAGTCCTTCTGTGCTTTGGAAGTCTTCAGGGATGCTGTTTTTTGTTTGCTTGTCTTTTAATCTACAACTCTCAGCTATTTCCCAGAAGGATTGCAACCATTCGTTTGTGTTCAGGAACCATGAGAGCATTTGGGAATATCCTCCAACTTGATTGTCACTGCCCTAAAATTTTGCTATGGCTGAGTAAAAGTCTACAAAAGCAGTAACAATCTTTGACTTTCCTTAAATCCTATTCCTTTACCTGAGATATGTTGGATAGTGTCTTGGGCATGATGACTTTTAAAAGATGATTCCTCTTCTGTGACTTGGTGAGTTCTTATAGGTATTCAGATAATAATCCAAGTAGTATCCATACATACATGTGAACCATAGAGGCCATGGTGAAGACAAACTGGTAATTTTTCTGTAGTCAACTCTTCTAGTGGTCCTCTGAATTCACACAACACACTTGCCTTCTGTCTTTTAATTCTGTTAAACTCGCTAGGCACCTGTCAGTTTGGAGAACTGCTATTTTGATTTCAAGGCCTAAGGGAATTGGTGGAAACTGTGCTTAGGAAAATATGTGGTATGCCAGGAGTTGGGCTCCCAGCAGTGCTCTTAAGCATTGGAATATTTTGAGCAGAGCTCTGCATTTGTGTAGAAAACATAAATGTTACAGTTACAGTTTTATCCTTTTCATCTGCAGATTTAACGATGTTCTCTTCCCCCCCCACCCCTAAAACATGCAGGTAAAATCTCGTGGATTGGAGGAAACTGCTGCCCCAGATGATACAGAGAAACCACTCAATGGCGTGGATGAGAAACCCTTCTCTGAAAATGAAGATGTAATTATAGCAGGTAAATATCACTGAAACATACAGTGGGGCAAAAAAGTATTTAGTCAGCCACCAATTGTGCAAGTTCTCCCACTTAAAAAGATGAGAGAGGCTCTCACAGACCTGTAACTACTTCTTTAAGAGGCTCCCAAACTCCACTATGGCCAAGACCAAAGAGCTGTTGAAGGACACCAGAAACAAAATTGTAGACCTGCACCAGGCTGGGAAGACCCAAACTCCACTATGGCCAAGACCAAAGAGCTGTTGAAGGACACCAGAAACAAAATTGTAGACCTGCACCAGGCTGGGAAGACCCAAACTCCACTATGGCCAAGACCAAAGAGCTGTTGAAGGACACCAGAAACAAAATTGTAGACCTGCACCAGGCTGGGAAGACCCAAACTCCACTATGGCCAAGACCAAAGAGCTGTTGAAGGACACCAGAAACAAAATTGTAGACCTGCACCAGGCTGGGAAGACCCAAACTCCACTATGGCCAAGACCAAAGAGCTGTTGAAGGACACCAGAAACAAAATTGTAGACCTGCACCAGGCTGGGAAGACCCAAACTCCACTATGGCCAAGACCAAAGAGCTGTTGAAGGACACCAGAAACAAAATTGTAGACCTGCACCAGGCTGGGAAGACCCAAACTCCACTATGGCCAAGACCAAAGAGCTGTTGAAGGACACCAGAAACAAAATTGTAGACCTGCACCAGGCTGGGAAGACCCAAACTCCACTATGGCCAAGACCAAAGAGCTGTTGAAGGACACCAGAAACAAAATTGTAGACCTGCACCAGGCTGGGAAGACCCAAACTCCACTATGGCCAAGACCAAAGAGCTGTTGAAGGACACCAGAAACAAAATTGTAGACCTGCACCAGGCTGGGAAGACCCAAACTCCACTATGGCCAAGACCAAAGAGCTGTTGAAGGACACCAGAAACAAAATTGTAGACCTGCACCAGGCTGGGAAGACGCCTCTCTCATCTTTTTAAGTGGGAGAACTTGCACAATTGGTGGCTGACTAAATACTTTTTTGCCCCACTGTATGCACCCTGTTTTCTAGGATTTAATACACAGTGAGAGAAAGTATGCTCCTAAGCAATTTGAATCCCAGATGAAACTGCCCGTGTACCTTATGGCAGTATCATTGTTATTATTCTATTACTCAGTTTCTTCTGTATAGTTAATGTATATGATTATATGATTCTTCCATACGTTTAAATATCATTCATGCATTTATTGTTAGTATTTCTATGCTGCTGTACTCCAAAACAGTTTTGAGTGGCATACAACAGAAAGAAAGGTAAAAAACATCAGAAAAGTGACATATGCACACACTGGGTATACCAAAAGTTGGGCCGCATAGACAGTTGATTATATAAATAACATTAAATGTTCAAATTGGTTGCCATTTTCTTCTAAACACTTCCTTATTCATTTAACACATGACCTTTGACTATTCCTAAGTACAGTAACATTTTTCTGAAAACAGTATTAATAAAATGTTGTGATTGGCCTATGGGGCCTGACTCTTAATACACCACGCATCTGTGTGTGTAAGAAGATTCCAAGACCACTAACCAGCTTTTATGAGGCAGATTATAAAAAGAAAGCCTAACATCTCCCAAATACTAGTATTCCAAACTAAATTTTCACCTCTGTATTATGCTGGCAAAATCTGTCCTGTTAGTGGGTGGACAGTCTATAGTTACAGTTACGTAGTTATTTACATGAGCAAGAGTTGTAGACTAGCTGTCTGAATGGGCTTTAATTTGATCTCAGCTAGAATGTCTTTGCAAACCTGTTTTCTTTTCATTTTAGATGTGTGTGAACCAGAGGCCTCCAGTGCAGATGAGCCATCAGCAACAGACCTTCGTGCCCAGATTAATCTACTTGCTGACCAAATTACTCCTGAAAGTCTTCTCAGCTATTCAGGGAACGAACTCTTTGAAATGCAAGAGAAGCTTCATAGCATGACAAACTGCATTATGAGAAATCTGAAGTCTCGTTGGAAGTCTCCATCTTGCGAAACCACTGTTTAATCAGTTACACTTAGTTCTTTAAAGAATAGATTTGATTGCAGGGCAGTTTTTCTAAAATCCCAAATTTTAATTTGAGATGAACATTTAGTCTTATCACATATTTTTAAATAAAAGGGATTGCTGTAACTTGAATAGAGCATTGCTGTATAAATCTTAAACTTTTAACTTCTCTGGACTTACAATTTGAGATTTTTATTGCTGCTATGCACAATTTCCAAAATGTGTTAAGATGTACAGTAAAGACTGTGAAACATGTCACAATATGGAGCAATATATTTTTCAAATGTTAAGTGTGATTCTTTGATGCATCATCAATATTTAAGGCCTGGGTTTTGTTGCTCTGAATAAAGTTTGAAGTGTTAATTAATTTACCAAAAGTAATACAAATCTTCCAGCTGATACTAGTTTGGAAGATACTAGTTTTATAGCTTCTTTACCATATTAAAAAATATGGTGCTTCATTAGCATATTAATAATATCTCAAACTTTTTCAATCAGCAATAGTACATAGTCTATTTTTTCATGAGTCTATTATGCAGAAGAAAAAAGTGTGTCAGTATATAATTCCAATAAGTATTCTCAGGATCTGACCACATGTTCTTAGAATTTTATAGACAATGAATCTTTTATTTGCCCCACTCATAAGTAAAGTGGACATAAAAATTATTTTGTATATTATGTATAGATGTACTAAATGCAGATGCTATAAATTATGTCCCTGTATGAAAGGCAGTATCTAACATATGTTTGAATGGAAGGAACTTTGTATAGAGCATATTGTGCTTTCTAAAATGGGCATAGCAAGGGGATCAATTTATGTTTTAGGAAATAAATATATATGGATAAAATGATTGTAGTAATTTGGGAGGAAGAACTGTACTGTGTTAAGATTCAAATTTGTTGGCTGTTTGTATGCAAGAGAAAGTATTCTAAAACAGCATTTAAACTATGAATTAATAACTGGTGTGAAAGTGCTGATTTGTCTATTGCAGGGAGAGGGGACAAGGGTGAATCAATACGTTTGTGCCTTTGAAAAGATTAATAGAAAGGGATTTTAAAACCAAATTAATTTAGCAGTTGCATCTTCTATGATTATATGGTAATTTAATTCCAATTTAATTTGTCAGCGTAAATCAGTAAAGAATAATAGGGTATGAGAGGTCCTCAAGAGAATAAAAGGCTACCACTAAGCTAGGGAAGCTCTTTCATCACTGTGGGAGCGAGCAAGCCAAATAGGAATTCATAAGCCACCTCTCCAAACATTACTAAATATTGCTGTCCATCTCTTCCCAAAGCTGTTGGAAATGGCCCAGAACAATCATTTTAATTTTTGATGATGAGGGACCTGGATGTTTTAGCCTTTAGTTGTTATTGCTTCCAGCTTGTTTGATATTGCAAGATGGGTTTGGAAAGTATCTCAAAGACCGCGTAGACCAGCTTCAGTCAGTGCAGAAAATCCAGCTCAGCATCCCTCTCTATTTAACTTCTGATTGATAGGATTCTCAGAGAGTTTTTCCTGTTACCACATAATCTCACCCTCTTTTCTATCATTTGTAAATTTTGTAGTATCTCTACCTCTACCTGTGCTCATCATTCAGAAATATATATGGCAAGCCATCATATGAGGATTATAAGATAGACTGGCCAAAGGCCCCTGAAAAATGCAACACAAAGCTTAGTATTCATGTATTTTGCTGACCTGAGATAATTGTTGCATTTTATTTGCCCCCTCTCTACTCAGCTATTTTGTTACAATAAGCATGTTTTCCTCTTAAGAAATACAAAGCTAAGAAAAATCGATACATGATGATTGAGTGCACATATCCATCCTGGTGAGAAGAAACTGCTACAAATGCAATGCATTAATTGTGAGTATGTTCTATAGTACCTTCAATGCAAATTAAGTATCAAAAGCCTACCAATGAGAAGATGTCACAGTGAACAAAAACAAGTAAACTGGTTTTTTAAAGGGCAAATGAAATTACAGTATCACAGTTAAGAGCCAATAAATAGCTGAATCCAACAATGGCTTCAGTCAGCTGATATTGGTTTGAAAAGAATTGAATGTAATGGAGCAGCAGCCAATGGTGGTACAGAAGAGAGGTAGTCCACCAGAGAGACTTTGGGAGACCGCTGGACCAGGTATCTTGAAAGAATGAAGCCAAGATCCAGGAAGAAAGCTAAAATCACTTGTTCTCAGGATGCTGGTAGGAAGCAGGAAGGTTTGGGGTTGAAATCTTACTATACTATAGATCCTGAGGAAGCAACACAAGAATTTCCAGTGAAGTAGATTAGTGGAGGAAGCCCCCATTGTTTAAAATGTCAATGTGAAAACTGCCAGATTCCAACTTACACTTGGTTTCTGCATTTGTTACCTTTTGAGATAGCCTGAAACCTTTTGTTGTATGTGGGTTCAATTAATCACTTGTTCAATTGTGCAGTTAAAGTCTCATTTTTCCAAAATGATCACTTTGAGGTCTGCAACAGAGTTCAACCTCCCAAGACTCCCTATTGTAGATCTCAAAGTGACCATTCGGAAAAATGAGACTTTCAGCTTGATTAAGCAAGAGATTGCTGTACTCAACGTGTCAAAAGGTTAAAGCACAATGGGTTTTTAACACATTACAGTTGTTAATGGATAAGGTATTTGTAATCTGTCTCATGTGTTGCCTGCCTCTGCATAACCAGCCTGTCTTCATCTCCCTGCCTCCATCCCAGTTTAAATCCAACAGTTTATCTTTGCATCTGATGAAGTGAGATGCAGCTCCCAAAGCTTACACCTATTAAGAAAATTGTGTAAATTGGGAAAGGTGCTACCAGACTCCTGACATGCAATTACTGGAAGAACTCACCCGTTGGTTCAGGGTGCAGTGCCATTATGCTGTTGACACCCAACTGTAATTTGCCATCCTGGGCTAAGCCAGTGATGCAAAATCTTGTCTTGGTGCCTGGAGCTGTTGGGGCCTAAGTGGGATGAAACAGATTGAAGTTTAACCCAAGCGAGAGAGTTGCCTGCTTGGCTCTCACTTTTTGTGAGATGGGTGGTATCTAAATTAGATAGATAGACAGACAGACAGACTTTTGATGAGGAAGCACTGCTGATGGGCAAGTCTGTCACATGTGGGTCTTCCTGGACTCACAGCTACTGCTGGTTGAGCAGGTGGAGCCATGGCCAGCAGTACGCAGATTCTCACAACAGCAAAGCATGCCTCCATTGTGCTACGTGGATCTGCCTTTAAAGTTCTCTTGGAAGCTACAATAGGTGCAAACTAGTGGCCTCCAGACGTTAGCTGTCAGATTATGCATGTATTGCAGCCCTCCATTGGCTACCCACAGCTTCTGGGTACAGTTTAAGCCCTATAAAGCCCCATATGACTTGAACAAAGATACTTATTGGACAACCTTCTCCAGCCAAAAACTTCCTGCTTTATATGTACATCTGGATAAAATTGTTGGTGGTTCCCCACTTCTGTGAAGTAAGGGAGGCTGAAGTCAGGAGGCAGTATTGTTTTTGTAATGGCTCATGTGCAATGGAACACCCTTCCCTTAGGTATTAGACTTGCTCCCTATTAATGGCTTTTCAGAAGATGTAAAAGGTGGGGCTTCTTTGACAAGTTTTTGGAGATTGATGGGTGGGTGCCATTGACTGCATGTTAACCAGATAGTTTCACAACTATTTTTCATTTTGAACTTATTCAAGTATTAGTATTACAACCACGGATGTTTTGTGAGTACTATACTGTGGATATTTTATTGTACTGATGTATTGGACATCACCAAGAACTCTGACAAATAAGTAAAATAAAATGAAGAAATAAAACACATAATAGGTTTGCAGAAACATGACATTTATTAGTCACTAATCTGAGAGGGAATAACAGCACTGTGACCCAAGAACACGCAGATTAAAAATGCATGCATCAGCATTCTCTAAGCAGAGCAGAAGAGAGGCTTTTCCACTTTTGACTGGACTGAGGTGTTGTATACTAGAAACAGAAATTGATACATTCAGCTGTGTTTAGACTATTATGGGTGATCACTGCATCTCTTGAGAAGAAAAACCATTTAAACCAATACAATTCAATGTTTCATGAAAATAAACTGAATTGTGCAAATTCAGCTTGATTAAAAGAGTGATAATTTAAGATACCCAAAACTCTCTTAAAAATCTAATCAATAGTGGTGGATGTTGGTAGGTTGACATTTCCCATTGGCATTCTGACTAGGATGGATAATGTTTCATGAAAGATTTAGATGTCAGACAATTCTTCACCTTTATCAAGAGAGGGAAAATAATAAGGCTGTTTGGAGAGTGTTAAGAATGATACTGAACTGATGGGGCCTAAAAGGCTTTTTTATTGTCCATGTCAATGTGGTCTCCTTTGTTTAAACTGCTTCTACATAGTTGGCTGGCAGCATGCCTGTTTTGCCTGTTCTTTGCACAGTTCCATACATCCATCCTTCATCTATGGCTTGGACGTTGACAATTGCATCACCATCTTTGAAAGAGACTTCATCAGCATCTGCTGCTGTGTAGTCATACATGGCACGATATGTCTTCTATTGTGGTCATTGTAGGGAAAAAAATAATATCCAAAGGTTACTAGCATACACACAGTGTACAGGGAACAATCACTTCAACATGTCTGTAACTCTGAAACTTTGAATATAAAGATCTCCCTCCGAAACATCAGTGATGCTGTTTACTCCCCCAAGTGAATTTATATTCAAGCTAAAGTTGACCATCCATTTAGATGTGTGAGGATTTTTTTCTCCCCAGAAATGGCAACCTTTTGCACACAGACGGGGGCCCACACAGGGCAGGCAAGGGTGAGCTAATAAAACATGTCATAATACAAGTTTCTTTCCCATTAAGATTTGCCATCATGACATTATATATAAGTATGTAAGGAGCAGAGCATGCATTGTGATCTCATGAATCAGGTTCCACCATTTTGATGAGATTGTGGCTTCTTGTGGACTTCCCTGTACACGGACTCAATTCATAAACGTCCTCTGCCTGCAGAAAACTCTTATTTTTACAGATATTTTTGTTGTATAGCAATACGTTTTGCTTACCCCTGCAATAGATGGATGAGAGGGGATGGAAGATACTGTAGTCTGTTGAGTCACAACAGAAGATGATCTTTGTTGTGGCAGCTCTACAGTTTTGGCATGTTTGTAATCCGCTAAAAAGGGAAATGAAGTTGAAATATATCAGAAGAAGCAAAACAAAAGAATGCTGGTATGATTTCAAAATACAGTTAAGTGATGCTTGAACATTAGGTATGTTTTTCAAATTCTGATAGTGGCTGAGGTTATAGATTACAATAGTGCAGATGTATGTAATGTTAGGAAATCTCTCTCTCTTTTTTTTAATTAATTGTCTTCCAGAATATCTGCATACAGAGATGGTACTAACTTTTTCTTCTCCCTTTTGGGCACACAAGGGTCCTGCTACTTTTTCCTGATTGAAGAGAATCACTCTGGTATTGTGTAGTTACGATAGTGTATTAAATTAATTCATTTGGCAATTCTGATAAGTTACAATTCCAGGAAGATGTTATAGTAGTTAGGTTATCATGCTATAGCCAACCCTTATGTAGGTATAGAAGAGCAGGCTACTGAGGAACAATTGAAGGCCCCTGTGCTGCCTGCCTCCCCTCCTCTCTGAGCCTCCTCCCAGCTTCAGCACTGGGGAGAGTTGCCAGTAAAGCTGCAACCTTGAAACAGGTGGGGGAGGAGATGCGTGTTTTGGGAGCTCTGCAGCCAGCGGCGAACAGAGAAACGCAGCCGGAGAAAAGGGCATTTTTCCTTCACGGAGACTGGATGGTCCAGAGGCAGAGCAAGGAAAAGTGCGAGTACAAAAGCACAAGGTGGAAAGCTGCAAGAACCCTACACGCTGGCAGATAACAGGGAAGAAAAAAGCAGAAGAAATTCCAGAGAGGGGAATTAAGGCAGAAGAGTGTTTGTAAGAAGAAAACATGGTTATGGAATAGTTATACAATAGAGTATAGTACCGAGGAAATATTGTAATAGTAGAGTACTGTATAGTAATTGTTGTTATAGTAATAATGACCATAGTAATATAGAAATAATAGAATGTGGGATAGAGGCAATAGAAAACCCTCACATATAGATTTGTAAGTTTCATATTTCGCTTTTGTATCTTGGGCATTTATTTTTTAAAAATAAAACATCTCCCCAACCCTTACAGGGAGATATAAAAAAAGTGTCTAGGGTCCGGTCCTTTTGGTGGATCATTTGAGTCTGAGTCAATCACATTGGGTGTAGTTTAAAAAGAACCCGTGACAGCAGGTATCAAAAATAATCTGTGGACATTATAGGAGCTAGTGTTGACGCTATGGCAGCCAATATATTGCATTATTCTTAGTTTTCCCACTCTGGTTTATCCATGCTGAATTGCTTTGCACAATAAATTACAAAATTTGCATGACATTCCCCTTAACTGTAATTTGTCAATAGTGGCAAAATTGTAGTTTTCCTTCCAGTTCCATCTTTTCTACCATGTTATTTAACACACAAAATAAATCAGCGATTTGGTGGTAACCAATGCTCATATGGCCTTTCTGTTAAAATGTTGGGAAGCTGATTAAATTCTAAATGGACGACTCATGAGGAGAGTACACAAAGCTGAAAGCAGAGATCATTTGGATAGTTGAAAGGCTGAGCAGAGGAAAGGAATTCAACGTGTACTGGATGGGATGATCCTTTTCCTGACAATGCAGGTTCATGATATATGATATATATCATATATATATATATATGATTTAGGGATATAACCCTAAATCCCATCACCCAAATTTACTGATAATCAAGGACTATATTTGCATCGCTAAAGCTAGAGGGCCAATGATTCTCATAGCTGGATATGTTAAATCTACCTAGAGACCCATCCTTTAGTTACATCCCAGTGGGGCTACTTTAACATGACTAATGAGAAACTCCAGTCCATACACAGTGTATAGCTAGAGTGTTAACTGGAGTCAGATATGGGGACTATGAGATAGCCTTGTTAAAATAGTTTTACTGGCTATCAGCCTAACTATGAGCTATTAAACTTTATCTGATTTTTGACCACATTGTTGAAAGGCCGCATACTCCATTAAAAGCCTATTTGTATTTTGAAGATGCATAAGAGAGGGACGCTTGGCAGTCCTTCACCACCAGAACAATTAGCAGGACCATGGAGCTATCTGGGGGCCACTCCCAAATGCTGATGCTCCTTGACAAGAAATCAATTTGCAACACCTTGTTATCATTTTGCAGGCAGGCCTCCCGCAGCTAAACTGATTTGGCTGAGTTGAGTGTTGTGTTTTTTTCAATGAGTTTTTAACAGTGTTTGGAACTTTAATTTTTTTAAAATATTCCCTTAATGTTTTTGTGTTCAAATTTAATAAAGACAAACATAATTCTGGCACAGAATTCTTCTTTCAATATTGTTTCTGAAACTGAAGATGCTTCAGAACATCTCAATCTGTTTTTTACAATGCATTTTAAAAAGTAAGCAGAGGAAATGCTCTTAAAACACACAGTATTTTTCTTTGGCTATCTTTGGCCAATTACAGCCTCGGTATGAATCTTTCTCTCTCCCTGCCCTGAAATTTCTTTGGGTCACCAAAACAAGAAATTTGATGGGAGTTAGACAATAGTCAGTCACTCACACCCTGGTCATCTCTCATTTAGACTATTACAATACACTCTACGTGGGGCTACCTTTGAAGAGTATCCAGAAGCTACAGCTGGTTCACAGTGTGGCTCCGCAGACAATCTTGGGTGCCCCAAGGATGGCACATAAAACACCTTTGCTGCGGGAGCTGCAGTGGGTGCCAGTTTGCTTCATTATGGATGGTGTTGATTATTACCTTTAGAGCCCTACATGGCATGGGTCCAGGTTACCTGAGGGACTCTCATCCCCATCACATTGTCCCATCCTACCTGGTTAGGCAGAAGGGGCATGTTGAGGACCCCATCAGCAACAGAACGTTGGCTGGTGGGGCCCAGGAGGAGAGCTTTCTCTGCCGTTGCCCCCACCCTCTGGAAACTCTCCCCACAGAAGTGCGGTGGGCCCAAACCCTCCTGGCTTTTTGGAAAGAACTGAAGACCTGGTTCTGTCAGCTTGCATGGGGCAAGAAGAGTTTTAACCAACCCCGGGGGTGGCTAGCATCCTGATGATGTTCCCCAAGCCTAATAATTTTTAGCTACCATCAAATATCTTGGAAGTTACTATTTATTTAGGACTAATTGTTACATTGTATTTTTAACTAATATTTATTTTTCCTGTAAACTGCCCAGAGTCATTTTCTAATGAGATGGGTGGTGACAACTTTGATAAATAAACAAATAAAATATCTATATTTATTGGTGACTGGAAATCCCTTATGGACTTTTTGTGTAAAAAAGAAAAAAAATGAACTTATGATTCATAGTTTTGATGATTAGACATGATAGATTATGGAAGGAAGAGAGTCATGATATAACTTTAGAGAGAGAGCTTAAAATATAATTGCACTTTATAACTTCTGTGAAGAATAGAAGCTACTTCTTTATATTTCTTTATCTTTTTTCTTCTTTCTATATTTCTTCTACTTTTTTTCTTTCTGCACTTCTAGCTTTTTCTTTTTCTTTTTATCTCCTTTTCTCTTTCTTCTTTTTCTTCTTTTTCATATATATGAAATTTGATGAGAGTTTACTCTTTTTACCTGTGGTAGTTGGAGGAAAGAAGCCTCCATTGGTGTAATAGGACAAGCGCTGATCGGCAGCCTCTGAATGCTCAGATTTTTCATCCCCGGCACTGAGACTGAGAGCACTGGCAGAACGTGAATGTTCTCGGCTGCGTCGCTGGGCTTGAACTGGGAGCCAGAGATGAAGAAGTAATCGTGAGGAGGAACATGTAGTTTCAAAACAGCATACTTAGCAGGAAAGTAAGGTATTTTAAATTCCTAACAGAATAAAGCTGTATCTTAAGAAGGTTATATCAGCCCGCCCCATTCAGTCTGGCAGAAGGGGCATGTTGCAGACCCCACCAGTCAAGCAATTTTGCCTGGTGGCGTCTAGGAAGAGGGCCTTTTCTGCCATGGTCCCTGCCCTGTGGAACAACTTGCCACCTGAGATGCAATGTGCCCCCATCCTCATGGCCTTCCGGAAGAGTGTGAAATCTTGGCTATGCCAGATGGCCTGGGGGCCTGATGGGGCTCACGTTGTTGGAATTGGCTGGTGGGGTAATTGATTCTGCCCCCCCCATCATCTTGAATTGTATATAGTCTTTTTATATAGTATTATTTTTTTAGCTAATTGAATATGGATATTTATATTTTTACTATTTTTAATGTTTGATTTTAATTGTGAGCCACCCAGAGTCACCCTCTGGAGGAGATGAGTGGCATATACATTTAATTAATTAATTAATTACTTAATTAAAATTTAAAAATCATAAGCCACTATCTTGTATTCCATCCATAATGATGCACACAATTTCACTGATAGCCCAACATACCTGCAAGCAAGTGTAAGCTTCTAGACTGAATGTTATCTTCTGCTGGGTCATAATCAAAAACTGATCCAGGATTAGTACGCCATACACGAAGGCCTGCAAAAAACATAGTGTGATAGTTGGATGTTGTTTTATGTTATTGCACAGTTTTATATTGCAGTCCAACAGTCAAAATGTAAGTAAATTAATGATTGTAGTGTTTACAAGTCACATTTAAAAAATACTTTGCTACTCATGCTTGTAACGTAGCTTGATTGAGAAACAAAAAAGCAAAGTGGCTTTGCTATTCTATCTAAACATAACAGACAAAACAATTATGGTTAGATGATCTAAGATCTTCTCCAAACCTATGAATCTAGAATACACCATTTAGACTAGTTCAATATAAGATATCTGATGCGCAAAATGGTGTCTTCATGCTAAGGAGAAATGAATTTTACAAGCAGATTTGGTTTAGAAATAGCTTAAAATTTAGAACAAGTATGTTCAAGATAAACAACTTTTTAAAAAAGTATTTGATAAAAATAATTGTCTGCCACATATTTTGACTCAATATATTATAGTTTTGTGAGATTCCTTAACAGAAGAACTGCACAATGTAAAATATACCTGTTAAGTTATTCAGTTCTTGATCATGATCTATTCGTTTTTGCTCCATTTCTACTACTCGTCTCTGAATGCCCCTATAGTTAATGTCACTGAAGTCCAGTGTATTCTTCTTTACACGTTCTGTTATGGGGTCCGTGACTACAGGTGTGAAGCTACCTTTGGTCTTTTCAAAGTCTTCATGGTATTTCACCTGGAATTTTTAAAAAAAATTACAAGTCCACTCCAGATAGTCATATTTGAGATAGCTTTCTTCAACCTGGTAAGGGCTAGAAGTAGTGTAGTGCAACACTCATCATTCTCAGCCTCTTGTGGCTAGGGATTATTTCCCCAATAACTGATCTTGCTGATTAAATTAGGCATCCATAGCAGCTTTACTTGAAAGGCACCAGGTTGGGGAAATCTATCTTAAGTAAGTCTCATATCTGTTCACCTATTGAAATTATAGAAGTCTCTAAGGTTGTCCAAATTCCACAAGCTGATTTCAGTTTTTGCCTTGGATGTCACATTTGGAACTGCTGCATCTTAAGATATGTTACTGTTAATAGTAACATTTAATTTAATTTAATTTAATTTAATTTAATTTAATTTAATTTAATTTAATTTAATTTAATTTAATTTAATTTAATTTAATTTAATTTAATTTAATTTAATTTAATTTAATTTAATTTAATTTAATTTAATTTAATTTAATTTAATTTAATTTAATTTAATTTAATTTAATTTAATTTAATTTAATTTAATTTAATTTACTTGGGCTATTTCTTGGCTTTCAAGCAAAGCAGTACTCACTGTGGAAATGTGCCGTTGGGTCTCCCGAACACGCCTCATTTCAGGAGTATCCAGGACAAAGGGTGCTTTACCTTGTACTTGCTTCCGGAAGCTATCAGAATAGAGGATCTGACAAAAGCAGAGAGTTTGAGTTAATGGGCCCCAGCCACTGGTGAGCAGGTTTTTAAGAGATGCTTCATTTAGGAGTTGGAAGGAATAAAGGAATGCTGAACATGCAAACAGCTTAGGGGCATCTCATAAACATATATTCTTTACTAACTCTTAATTTTAAAAAGTTGTTGAGCATGTAAGGTTATTTCTTTAAATTCTGTTGAGATAAAGTCTTAATCTACTGCACCTGAAGGATTCTATGGGGATAACATTCAAAACAACAGCAATAGAACAACATAGAAACCTGTTTTGCATTGTCTCAGACTCTCCATCTTCTCTGCATGACTAACAAAAGCTTCTTAGCATTGCTACCTGTTCTTTTCGTTACGAATATTATTCAGATCAATTCTGAGACCTTCTGCTTATAAACGTGGTCCATCCCCAAATAACATGCCAACTGATGGTGCAATACTACAGCCTGTCTTAATCCCAGGCACTCAAGTAAACCTTATGCCATTCCAAGAAAAGGTGCCAGCTTTAGATTTTGGCTACTCCAAAGGCAATGGTGCTTCTAGCATTATCTGGCAGCCCCCAAAAGCATTTGGTGCAAACTCTTTCCATGTCAACCTGAAGCACAGGTGATACTGTCAAGAGAAGGGATGGTCTCACTTCCTCCGAAACTGTGAAGAAATGTAAGAAAGAGAGACCCTAAAGCAGATAAAACCCAGCTCCGTGATTGGTATTCATGAGGCACAGAAGGGGAGACCAGACCATGAAGCACAGTGTCAGTCTTCGGGTAATGATAAAAGCCATGGAATGGCAATGTTGTGCTCAAGGGAGCTCCACCCTCCTCCTAATATTGCTCAGATGCCTTTGTGTCTTGACACAAAAGACACATGTACATTGACACGGAGGTGTGTTGGCTTCCTTGTGAAACAGGGCCTTACATTATCAGATATTAAATGGCTAAAATATCCATAGAGAACTATTCTGAGCCATCCTGAAGAAACCTTCTCAGAACATACATTTAGAAGAATACAGGCTTGGTTTAAAGAAAAGTGTAAAATGCAAAGATCATTCTGATCCATATATCATGAATAATGTAAAGCTATTATACTACATTTTTAAAGAAAGTTAAGCTGTTCATTGAAGACAGTGGCAACTTAAAAATCTTTAAGCCATACTTAAGTAGGAATATGACACAATTAAAAACTAGATCATATGCTTAGGTAATATGTTAGTTTCTAAATGTCAACATAAAGCTATAACGTTAATGACATTATTAGCCTGGAAATGTTTTAAACATGAGTACAGAAAGCAGTATTTTTTTTTAATATCTAAAGTATAGATTGATTGTTCTGAAAATACCGAGCTAATGTTTTCTTGATTGCGTTTGGCTCTCTCCATCTCTGGAGTGATAGAAGTTGGAGTTCCTTTTCCCAGGCTCTCTTTGTACAAAACCTACACAGCATTCAAGAAAGCGTTCAAAAATCAAAGATTAGGCACTTGTTGGTGAACAATTTTGTTAACGAGGGTTACTATAAAGTAAGAGTAGTAAAATCACTGCATGAATAGACACATAACCCGGGAAACAAAGTGGTTAAAAAGTTATAGGGTAAAAAAAGAAGAAGTAGTAGTAAAAATAACATTAAAAGGAGTGTTGTCTTTAAAAAATATAAAATGGATGGGACTGAGATGTATTAGATGCAGGACAAGGTTGATCAAATGTGTTATTTTAAGTTCATTTTTTTTTTCAATACCAAGCTAATGTTTTCTTGACTGCGTTTGGCTCTTTCCATCTCAGGAGTGACTGGTGTTGGGGTTGCTCGCCCCAAATTTTCTTTGTAGAGAACCTGAAGATTGTAAAAGTATCCAAAAATCACACAATCACCAAAAAAAAAAAATCACAAAAATATAATTCAAATAAAATACCTAGCTTTTTTGCAAAAAAAAAAAGTGCTTAAAGGCATATTCTCAAAAGAATACAAATAAAAATATAAAAATGGATTATAATAAAAACTTCATGATGTCCAGTATAAAACTGATAAAAATGAAATGTAATTTCAGATATAATTATTTTTCTCTATTTCACACAAGTTAGGAAGACATGTATTTTATTGCTCACAGTTACATGGGTTTAGGTAAATCTGAACCTAAACCCTTCTGAAATCAAATACATATCAACTGTAATATAACTGCAAGACAAAGAGGTCACACCTCACTTGTATTTCAGAGGCATCTTTGAAATATATTAAAAATATTCTATGAGAAATCACAAAGAGAAACTGTAGTATATTTTGACGGAAAGAAATTAATAAAGGCAACATTCAAGTAGCAGCATTTAGAAGGAAAAATTAAGTAGGTGAGATAATTAACAGAGAGAATATTATTTTAAAGATAAGGATTCTATCCAGTTAGCAAGATTGCAGTACATTGTGGAATGGCTCTTTTCAATTAAGTTTTTATGGATAAAATAATGGTCCAATGATTACTTGTCTTATTAATGGAATAGTAATAAAATAACTTGTGTTTCCTATCAACTACTTGCTCAGTGAAAGCCATGCAACTGGAAATTACCTTGAGGAGACCTTTTTCTCATAGGTGTAATGTGTTAAAAATTAAGGGAATGGACTAAAGGCGCTTGTTGTATAATTGTCCATACCAACTCACATAGGCCTTTTGGCTTTTATTCCTCTACATACTTCTGATCACATCTTACCTCTGCAGACATTAAGATTCTATTTTGGATGTGATACAGTTCTCCCTGCAAACTCCACTACAGTATACTAAAAAATTCAGGATCATGAACAATAAGCCTATTAAAGAAGGTAGTATGTACACTGGAATCCATCATTATAATTTCTATAGATAAATGCATTGATAGGCTAAGTTATTTCAGAATCATTTTTACTAAATCTTGCTATCAGCAAGGTGTCATTCAGTTCCGGAACAAAACACTGATTAAGTTAAGATGTATTTTCTCTGCTGTGCAATTTTACATAATCAGCACTGAGGTGCATCTAGAAATGATAGCCATATGTTTGTGTGACTCTTGGCATTTCATAATCACCAAAATGGGTAGCTTATACTTTAAGGTTATTAGTCACTGTCCATGAATTTTTCTCTCTTATAAAGCATTTATTTGCATAGACCTCTTCTCTAGGACAAGTTATTTGGAGCAGAAATCATAGGGTGTAGTAATATCTGGATAGAGTCCTGTTGTCATTGTTGCTAGATTATGAAAACTCTTCAAGAACTAATGGTTGAATATTAATATTAATATCAGATGTATCTTATGAGTAGAAGGTAAGTGATCAATATATCAGTATTTTACTTAGATACAAAAGGCAAAATTTTGGAAGTCTTGTTAGGATGTTATTATATTTTGTTATATTAAAAATACTTTTGTTTTTAAAGTACCGAGCTAATGAACTCTTGATTGCGCTTCGCTCTTTCCATCTCAGGAGTGATTGGTATCGGGGTACCTTTCCCCAAACCCTCTTTGTACAAAACCTACAAGGTAAAAAGGGGTGTCCAGTAATCATATAACAACAACGACCAAAAGATATTTTAACAGTTTATAATGTTAATGCCAGGAAAACACCAGCTTTCAATATAGAGGCTGGCTGTTGATCTGGGTCAGCTGGAACAGAGACCTTTAGTCAACAACCAAATAGGAAAATGTAATCTAGTAGGATAAGAAAGCTGAACAGACAGCAAATGCCAGTCAAGCACTCTGTTTGCTGAAAAGTAAAAGAAAGTAGCAAATCAAGTCCTTCCGGGAATATGTTAAAGTTAAGTTGCAGAAAGAGTTCAAAGGACAGATGGTTTATGCCAAGAGGTAGAAATGGATGCTACAGTTTGGTTAGAAAGCACAAAGCTCTAATACATTTAATATTATTTTAAACCATTAATTCCTTTGCCTCCCTCTTTCAAATACCGAGCTAATGTGTTCTTGATTGCGTCTGACTCTCTCCATCTCTGGAGTGACAGGGGTAGGGGTTCCTTTCCCTACGTCCTCTTTGTACACAACCTACAGGATACAAAAGAGTATCCAGCAATTACAAAACAGCAATGACCATAACACATTATTAGCTAATGGAGTTAATACATGGGTCACACCAGCTTCCAGTGAAGCTAGCTGGCTGTTGATTTCAGTGTCATCTGGAACAGAGACCTTTAATCAACACCCACAGAAGAAAATGATCTAGTAGGATAAGAAAGACAGAAAAGCTAAAAGAAAGGTGAAAACACTGTGTTTGCTGAAAAATAAAAGTAATGAATCAAATCTTAGTAGTAGTAGTAGTAGTAGTAGTAGTAGAAGACTTAGGCTGAAAAAAGAATTCCAAGGATAAGAACCTTGTTGTAAAGGTAAAATTGGGACTCCAACAGTTAGAAAGCACAGATAATTAACACAACTTATTTTTAAAACATTAGGTCATTTTCTCTTCTTTTGAATACCGAGCTAATGTGTTCTTGATTGCGTTTGACTCTCTCCATCTCAGGAGTGACAGGTGTAGGGGTACCTTTCCCCAGTCCCTCTTTATATAAAACCTGAAGGACACAAAAGAGTATCCAGCAATTATGAAACAGCAATGTTCAGAAAAAAAATATTAATAGGTAATGTTGTTAATATTTGGATTGTACCAGCTTCCAGTGAAGCCAGCTGGCTGTTGATTTCAGTATCCTCTGAAACAGAGAACTTTAATCAACACCCGTATGAGCAAAAAAAAAAAAGAAATCTGGTAGGATAAGAAAGATGAAAAAGCAAAAATAAAGGGGATGGTGTTTGCTAAAAAATTAAAGAAGTGAGTCAAATCTTAGTAGCAAGAGTACACCTAGTCTGGTGAGAGAATTTCAAAGATAGGAGGCTTGTAAGAGGTGAAATGGCGTTATTGATAGTTAGAAAGTAAGATCATTAACACATCAACTTATTTCAAAGAATTCAGGTCAATTTTCTCTTTTTCTGAATACCGAGCTAATGTGTTCTTGATTGCGTTTAACTCTCTCCATCTCTGGAGTGACAGGGGTAGGAGTTCCTTTCCCTACATCTTCTTTGTACACAACCTACAGGATACAAAAAAGGTACCCAATAATTACAAAACAGCAATGTTCATTAAAAATATTAATAGATTATGGTGTTAATACTTGGAACACACCAGCTTCCAGTGAAGCTAGCTGGCTGTTGATTTCATTGTCATCTGGAACAGAGACCTGTAATCAACACCCACATAAGATAATAATCCAGTAGGATAAGAAAGATGTAAAAGCCTTAAAAATGTGAAATTTTTCTGTGTTTTGAAAATTAAAAGTAGTGAGTCAAGTCTTAGTAGCAATAGTATATGTAGGTTGAAGAAAAAATTCCAAGGATAGGAGGCTTGTTGTAAGGTGTGAATTGGCACTACTGATAGTTAGAAAGCAAGATCATTAATGCATCAACTTATTTCAAGAATTCAATTTTCTCTTCTTTTGAATACCGAGCTAATGTGTTCTTGATTGCGTTTAACTCTTTCCATCTCTGGAGTGACAGGTGTAGGGGTTCCTTTCCCTACGTCCTCTTTGTACAAAACCTACAGGATACAAAAAGGTATCCAGTAATTACAAAACAGTAATGTTCATAAAAAGATGTTAATAGCTTATGGTGTTAATACTTGGAACACACCAGCTTCCAGTGAAGCTAGCTGGCTGTTGATTTCACTGTCATTTGGAACAGAGATGTTTAATCAACACCCACAGAAGAAAATTATGTAGTTGGATAAGAAAGACAGAAAAGCTAAAAGTGTGCGCTGAAAATTAAAAATAGTGAGTCAACTCTTAGTAGTACATATAGGTTGAAGAAAGAATTCCAAGGAAAGGAGGCTTTTCTGAGAGGTGAATTGGCACTACTGATAGTTAGAAAGGGAGGTCAACACATCAACTTATTTCAAAGAATTCGGGTCAATTTGCTCTTATTTCAAATACCGAGCTAACGTGTTCTTGATTGCGTTTGACTCTCTCCATCTCTGGAGTGACAGAAGTTGGGGTTGCTTTCCCTACATTCTCTTTGTACAATACCTGTGGGATAGAAGAGCAGCCAAATAAGCTAGCAATAGGTAAAAGTGTGGGGGGGGGGGAGATTTTGCTACTGATGCTTTAAACAGAAGCTGATTGGAATGTGAGCATTTTGCCAGATGGTTGGATCATAAGAACTTTTCTTTTCGAGAAACAAGCACTAGTGTTCATTAAATATAGTCTCAACCTTGGAAGATGCATTTTTGTATCTCTGTATATTATTCACAGAAGATCCAACATGCCAGTGGTAGGAGAATGGAGTGTAATATTCTGGCAATAATTTGGAGGTAAGGCATTGAACAGCAGGGATAGTTAAAAAGTCTCCAACATGATGCTATCCTAAATTGAACATCAAAGGTCAAAGTTTCATAGAAGGCACAATAAGGCCATTGGCAAGATGGAACTGTCATTGGAGGAAAGCTACTTCAGAAGAAAATAGAATTAAAGTGCCAGTTTCCTAGAAGTACCGAGCTAATGATTTCTTGGTTGTGTTTGACTCTCTCCATCTCAGGAGTGACAGGAGTCGGGGTGCCTGTCCCTAGATTTTCTTTGTATAGGACCTGCATGATAAAAGAAGATGGGACAAAACAAGAATAAGAATGAAAAACAGCAGTCAGTTCAAATAGGCCAAGGTATTGGTCTTCAATCTCCTGGGGATGAGTCTTATGCTTTCAAAGTTATGAGGACTTTTCCAAGCCCTATTTCCACAATATTCTTTCTGTGGTTTCTTGCTTTTTCTATCCTGCTAACAAGTCAAAACATAAAATGCACAAAGTTGTGTATGCTCCAGCATACGCTAGGAACGCTTAAGTCCCCCGAGGGAGATGCAAGAATGTGGTTTATGTTTTGACGAAGCTCAGTAGTATTTTAAGATACCTACTGGATGGATCATGGCTATGGAACTAATGAACCCATTAAAAATTATGAATGAATATTAAAAATTAAAATGTTAAATATTTAAATGGATTTGATGTGGGAGGTTGTATGGTTGCTTCAAAATTTTCTTATCCTTGTAGGTTTTTTCTGTAATTTTTAACTGTACATGGCACGTTAGAACATATTTTGTAGTTGGGAGAAACTTACTCCTCATCCTATATTTTTTGATGCTGTACACTGTGGTGTGTTCAGGGAGATCAAAACACACAAGATGGCAATCATGGCAGCATGATCCAAGGCCTGCTCCTTTTGTATGTGCATCAATTTTGCACACACGTATAAAGAGTAAAGAGGTGAGGCTTCAGTCATGATGCTGCATCCTTCCCCCCCACCCAATTCCCAAAAAAGATTGGTCCAAGCAGTTGGAAACATGTTAAGATCTTGGACATAAGCATTCAATCTTGTGAAATGCCCTGATAATCCTCCCAAATGCCCCAAATCTCATGAGATTCCAGCAATATTACTCAAGATCTCAGAATATTTTTGCATGAGATCTTTCATATTTTAATATTTTAAAAAATATTTTGGTTGGGGGAGGGCTGCGGTTGCTGTTTTAGAGAGCAAGGAATGCTGCATTGCAGAACGGTGGTATAGTTTGTTTTTTTTCTATCCGTTCAATCGTGTCCAATTCTCAGAGACTGCTGGACAAATCCCTGCAGTTTTCTTAGCAAGGTTCTTCAGAAGTGGCTTGCCATTGCCTCCTTTCTAGGGCTGAGAGAAAGTGACTGGCCAGTCACCCAGCTGGATTTGCAGCTAAGGCAGGACTAGAACTCTCGCTCTCCCGGTTTCTAGCCTGATGCTTTAACCACTGCACCAGACTGGCTCTCTGGTATAAAGATTAGTCATCCAGTATTTTGGACACTTTTAATTATATGCCATGTTGGTTAAATTAAGGTTTCTCTTTGCTATGCTAAAATAATACAGTAGTCAGCAACAGAAGTGAGCAAAGAAACCACTGCAAAAGATATCATAAAGTTATTTTTTTAGGCAGAAATAGGACCTATGGCGAACTTAAAGCGATGGAAGTGAGACACAGCTATGAATCATTGTAAGAATGATTCCAATATTTTATTCTGAGCGCACCCATATTGGTTGCATTTTTTTTTTCATTTTTAAACTTCATCTGAGAGAATACTATGCATCCTGTTCCATCCAATTGGAGATTTAGACCATATTGTTTTTATAATTTAAGTTGCACTAAATAAAAGATTTTAAAAATAGTCAAGGGAGTTAAAAAAAAGAAACACAGTTGGGATTGTAAGAACATGGTTAACAGTATTCCAGGACAGTAACAAGGTTAACAATATTCCAGACTATTAGAATACAAAATAGTGAACAAAAATAAACTCATTGGAAAATTAACTATATTGATAGATTGGATATTACTTCTATCAGTGAATTATATGCAGCATCTAACCAAGATCCAAATATTAATTTGAATGGGGTCAAAAGGGAACTTTGGTTTATTAGAAGGACAAAGCTGAAGTTTTACTGAACATCTCTGGGCTGAAACTAGGATTTGGACAGACATGGCATAATGTGCTCCATGCTTCTTCAAGGATAGTGATATCCCTTAAAATCTGGCGGTCCCTCTCACAAAATCCGAAGCAGAGAGTGCCTATGCTGGGACTTCACCGTGTATTGACTTTGTCATGTCTCTGTTCCGTTCTTAATTGGTGGCACAGTATTGCAGGCAGAGTAAGGGTAGTATTATATTTGGTCTCCCATTTAGCCAGAGGACTAACTATATCACAAACATTTAAATGGCTAATTAAGAATTACGCTGCATGAAACAAACTATGCAACATGAGAAATTTTTTTCTCCTATACGAGGGACACAAACAAGCCTCCCTGTTTATCCTCAAGTACAAAACTAATATTTGGATTACCAGCTTCTCCTTTTTTTGTTGTTGGATATTTTAAATGCCCTTCTCTTCTTCTTTTCTCTTTTTATTCTGTCCAGCTGGAAATGCCTCTCTTTTCTCTTATCCAGCCTCTCTCAGGGCCATTCTTTATTACATGGAAGTAGCCAGTTAATCAGAATGGCTACTTCCATATAAGATCAAAATGCCCCTTTAAGCATAAATTGTGTCTCTTGCTTCTGAAGACACAGCAGAGGGTCTTCTTTATCTGGTTTCCCTACTCTTCTGAGTGTGCAGCTTGTTTAACAAGCGTGTTTGCGCTCAGTGAGAGGAGCCTGCTTTGCATCTACTGACCTCCCACTCTTTTGTTCAAGTCCTGTTTGCCCAAAGTTTTAAACCCCTTCGTTCTGATAGATCAGTGGACTTAAGCTGCTGACTGGGGAATTCTGGAAGTTGAAGTCCACACATCTTAAAGTTGCCATTGTTGAGAAACACCGTAAGTGATTACAAGATCCCATCACAATCTAGACTGTACAAACACCTTGCTTTGCAGTATAGGGATGAAGTCCTCTGTACATATGAATTTATGCACAGATTTGAACTATAGTGTTAAGTAATGTAATATCATCCCATGAAAGAAAATTTAAATTACATCCAAAGTTCCATTGTAAGCCCCATTTATTATAAGAAGATACAGTAGACTTAAGCATAAGCTTTGCTTTTTCAGTGAAATCCAACCACATTCATTTTATTTGGTTTTGGCTGGGTTGTAGCCTAAGTCTACAGAGCCAAAATTTTGTTGTGAACTATTTTGAACTATTTCCCACACTTTTCACAGTAACTATCAATATGAGTTGGGAATACATGTACCATCATTCAAGAAATAAAAAGCAAAACTGAGTGAACAAAAAAAGTCAGTAATTGAATGATTCAGTTACTAAAATAAAGAGTTTATTTTTTTAAAAAACGGGTATTTTATGTTACTCAGAATGAGTAACATAAAGCTTTGTAATGGTTAATTCCATTTTAATGAAAGTAAAGGGCATTTTTAACTACAAAAATACCGAGCTAAAGATTTCTTGATTGTGCTTGACTCTCTCCATCTCTGGAGTAATAGTTATTGGAGTTCCAGACCCTAAATTCTCTTTGTATAACACCTGTGTAAGAAGAAAGTATTAAATATATATCTATATTTTAAAAAATCAGCATAAAAATGCAATTCAGTGCAGTTTTCCTCATGAAATAAGTTTTCTTTATGAAGTCTACAGAACTTAGAAAAATCCTCTTAAAAATACACTCTATCTTGACCTTAAAAGTGTTCCTACTACTACATTGGATATGAAAAGCCACCCAAGGGTATAACTTAATTACATTCAAATAATTTGATGTGATTATAATTTTAGGAATACTTTAAACCCTCTGTAGTTTCTTTACATTCTTCCTTATGATGGACAGAAGGAGAAGAAAACATCCAATCAAAACTCAGTTTGGGCTGATGAGTGCCTTCTCAGCCTGATGTATTCTTGGAATACAAGGACCTCTTCTTGGAAGAGAGTTGTGATCTCTAGCCATATGACAATTCCTCCATCCCCAAACACACAGACACTTTTATTTGCCTACATCCTTGACAGTTTAAATATATTTGACACTAGATTTTCTTGCCAAGTTCAAGCAAGAAAATCTAGTTCCAAATACATTCATGTATTATTGAATATAATCTAGTTCCAAATATATTGCACGTATTTATGAATAGGGGACAAAAAAAATGGTCTTCTTAGAAGATGTAGCCAAGTCTTGTTTCTTCAGCCTCATGTTCTCTGGTCAAATAAATGAAAGCTGGTTTAGATGGAGTAGTTGTTATTGTAAAAGTGACAGCTATGCTATTTCTTCTCTGGAGTGAGACAGGATTGAAGGAGTGAGAAATGATTCGGAAATGAGAGGATAAATAAAGAATTGCTGGAATCTATTGGAGTAATTATCCCAATTTAATTGCAAGAAGGGGCCACTGGCATATATTGGCATTTAAATAAATGCATGTATGTGTGGACTTCTGTACCAGAGTTTAACTGTAACTGTGTTCTTGTTTTCCTGTCCAGAATCACAAACTGCTTCAAAACATCATAAAAAAAATTAAGATTAGCAATAAAAGAACATTAAGAAAAATATTTTAGAATGGTTGTTGGGGCTCATTGGGTTAGGATCAAAGTATTATTCTAATTTTGCATTGCACCAACACATGGATGCCAAGGACTATTAGAAAGATTTCCTGTTATAAGGACAAAGGGAAGGCACTCTGAATATCTTTTGTTTAAGGTAATTCATATTATTTTATTTGGGGAGGGGAAGGAAGATAGGAAAGGAGTATGGTGAGAAAAAAAAGTTAAAAGCACTGCAGAACAAAAGTAGTTAGTGCTTTAATTGTCCACGTCTCATGAGATGATTAAAATGAAGAGATACTCAAAATCTTATGGAAGGTTTAATATTAAAAGGAAAGTTAGCATAAGATCATGACAGTTAAAATTATGTATTGACAGATATTTTGTGCTATACCGAGCTAATGTGCTCCTGATTACGCTTGACCCGCTCCATTTCTGGAGTAACAGGAGTTGCCATTCCTGTGCCCACATGTTCTTTGTAAGACACCTGTGAGGGTACAATAAAGTATCCACAAAAGACCCCAACAAAGAAGTGAAATAATCAGAGTTGAATTTCAACTAGGAGTAGGTAGTAACAGTGCATGGTTAAATCCCACGCTTGAACTAGTACTGCAAAGTGAGAAAAAGCTAAAAGTAATAGAATATTATTCATTAAACGTGAATGAAAAGAAAATCAAACATAGCGAGTTAAGGAAAGCATATGGAAGAGGAACACAGTGTTAATTTTAGGGGGGCAAAGTATATTTTGTTTTATTTTTAAAAAATGTATTTAATGGTGCATAACGTTTTAAATTAAGTTAAAAGTTAGGAAGGGAGATGAGTCACAAAAATCGGATGTAGTAGAAAATAGAAGATGGCAGTTAGAGATTATTCTTTTTAAAAAAAATTGTGAGTTGTTAAAGTAGTTTTGATTTTATTGAGAAATACCGAGCTAATGTGTTCTTGATTGCGTCTGACTCTCTCTATTTCTGGAGTAATTGGGACTGCAGTTCCTTGCCCTGCATTCTCTTTGTACATAACCTGCAGAATACAAACACCCACCAAGATGAGAAATCGGATAACCGCTATGAAAACACTAAGGAGCAATGCAAATGTTGATTAACACACTTATTTTGTATATAAATGTACACATAGATACATACATATACACACACGCTCAAACGCACACATACCCACACACATCCAGTTGCATTATTAGGAATGTTTCCACTCTATTTTGAAAGCACTGCATGTTGTGTCGGAAAGGAATGCTATAAATGGAAATACTCTAGTCTTTAGTACAGATAGTCCTCGTTTAGCAACTGCCTCATTTAGCGACCATTTGTAGTGACGATGGTGATGAAAACATCACCTTGCAACCAGTCCTTGCATTTACAACCTTCGCAGGTCTATAAAGCAAAGGAAAGCTGAAGTAAAATTGTAAACTCCTGATGTTTCACTTAGTGACTGCTTCACTTAATGACCGAGTTGCCCTTTCCAATTGTGGTTACTAATTGAGGACTACCTGTATTCCATTGAACATTTTGTTTTATTAAAACTCTTCCACAGGTCCCCAGGAGAGGAAAAGGGGTCACAAAACCTTGGAACTGTAAGGTTCCCTTTTATTCTTTTTTTTTTTTTAACTTTTTTTATTTGGGAAGCCCATATCTGGAAAATTCCTTTAGGGCCAGATTTAAACTAATTGAATTACTTATACGAATTCTGTTTCAATTTTATGCAACTCTCTGCATCTTGGCCTTTAACATAATATCAGGCCAAGTCTAAAAACAAAAGAAGATTTGAGATTTAAACACTGTATAACATCAAAGTGGTCTCACGCATTTCTATTTTCTTAAAAAACAAAAGAAAAAGAAAAAGAAAAGAAAAAGAACACCAAGTCCTCACATTAAAAAAAATAAAAATTAAAAAGTCCTGCATTACACTCCTTTAAAAAGATGCCTATTTTCTCACATAGAAAAAATACAGTTAGAATTAAGTATTCAGTCAGTTGAAAAAAATCTGAAAACAAATAAGGTAAATCTGAAGTTAGAAAATGAAACATGTAGCACACATATCTAATACAGTCAGATTTTGCAAAACTGCATTTTAAAACTAATTAGCTGGTGAAAAGCTCAGTCAAAGGGACCGGGGGGTCAAAAAAACCCAAGATGCTGCTGTGACTATGCAACTGGAATCCACTGGAGTTGGGTGGCTACAATAAATTTAAAATAATAACAAGAACAAGAACAACAAGAACTCAAGTGTGCACCATGCATGCAAGTGTAGAAAGGTGCAAGGCTTCTATCAGTCACAATGGCCATCTTGACTTTTCTGACTCCCCTTGCAAAGGGGGAAGGATAGAAAACAAGAAAGGAGAAGTCAATAACTACTGATGCAGCTTTACGGTTTCTTCATAGATGCTACATTGTTATTCATTTAACAGCCCTAACTGACCCTTCCATGGTCAGCCACAATTGCCTTGTTTTCCAGACAAATCTGCGCACAATATTGTGCTGTTTATTAAACTGCAACCAATATTTCTAATAACCACCCCAACGGTTTATACTACACAGTGTGTGGCCAGTTAAGATTTGATTGATTAATTGTTTATGTGCCATCAAATTGTTTTCAACTCTTGGTGACCACCTAGATAGATTTTCTCCATGAAATTTGATTTGATTACCCTACAGAATAAGCTAGAAAGTGAAATTCAGTAAGCTGTGGTGAATTATTTAGAATTTCAAGCTCCCAAATCGTTGATCCCTAAGCTATTTCAAGTGATATATGGCAGAAGTTAATTTGAAGACTGGAATCAGCTTACCACAAACCAATAAATAAATAAATAAATAAATAAATAAACAGTGCAGAATCCACAATTTAACGTAACAGATTTGAATAAGCATTAGTTTAATTGTATTAGGGTTGTGCCCAGATGTCTCTAAGCATATCCAGAAGCCTATCAAACACATTGACTAAACATCCCTGGCTTATAAGTCCCCAAAGCAACTTGCCTTAGGCAAGTGGCAAATTTTGGAGTAACTTTATAGGAAGCACTTCAGCAATTAGCTCGTCGCTATATTTTAAATACCATCCCATCCCCTTTGGACTTTTCCACCTGAGAAACCATCTTTTGGTTCATCCTCATCTTCTCAGCATTCAGTACGTATGTATTCTCCTCTCAAGGTGTGCATACAATAGTTATCAAAGCAAATGGAACTTTAAAATGGAATAAAAGGACAAGAATGCCCCTTCAGGATACAGGAGATGATGTTAGTACATGTTAACCAGAGGAATAACCAACAGCTTAGTATGGTGAACAGCAGCACGTCATTACTAGGCAGCTCACTATCAAAAGAGAAAGAAAATTTCAGCCACTACCGTGCTGATGTGCTGCTGTGTCTCCTTGACACGTTTTACTTCAGGAAGGTCAGCAATGGGAGTTCCTTTTCCAATGAGTTCCTTGTACTTAATCTACAAAGTTGTATTCAGAAGAAAGAAGACAAGACCAAACAATGGTGTTATGTACATGAGACGTACATATCCATCTAAAGAGAGCTGAGAAAACAATTGTCGCTGAAGGTTTATATGTTTGTGGGACCTTAAAGCTTAACATGCACCCTTGTGGAAAATCCCTCATCAAGGAAGCTTCAGAAGAAAGTTAGGAAACAACACTCAAGTTAAATATAGATAATTACACAGTCCTTTTCCTGTGTTGAAGAAATCTTTACACTAGAAGTAGCTTGATGTATCCATAATTATGAAGTGATTTTATCTTTAACATGTAAAACAACTTTTTTCCAACTGGATATGACCCAGATAGCTTCAACTAAGCTACTTACAAAATTACATGAACTGCATGGCACCAGGTTGGGAAAGAGTGCCATAGTATAAACCATCTATGTCACAGGTAGGGAATTCATGGTCATCTAGATGCTGTTGAATTAAGGCTCCTAGCAGTCTTTATCTCGGGTCATGCTGGCTATGGCTGCTGGTAACTATAGTACAACATCTGGAAGGTCACAGGTTCCTCATTTTTATCTTGCTGAATGTGCACCGATGAAACATATATTTATTCATCACAAAAGTTCTCCTTCACTACAGCTGCCCTGACTTTAAGGCTACATTTGTTGACAGTGGAAGTGGATCTGTGGAATGTACGTTCAACCCAGTGTGCTGAGGTATAAGCATTTCTTCAGTTTGTGGTGAACGCTGGTTGTCACCCAGTTCTGGAGTGTCTAAATGCATCAGTTTGAATCCTAGTACTTTCTTCACTGAAACCTAGGGCATAAGCCATTACTCCATGTAATTGCACAAAGGAGTCTTTGCAATGGAAACAAGGAATCCCTTCTGAAAGTGGCTGTTGTCTCAAAATGGCGACGGAGTCTCTACAAACATGGAATGCTATACATGCAATGGATCCACTGGATTAAAGTAAAAATTATGGATCAGATCCAGTTTTTGCCAAATTTCATCTCCTTGATTTTACTGAGTCTACTCTAAGTACAGCTAACTGTTGACTCAACACATATTAATCCCTTTCAGTTCCAATATAATTATATTTTAAGTCCATTCAGTAGAATGGCAAATATTAATTTAGATGGCATTCAATTTTATAAGCTAAAACAGCACAACTAAGACATTTTTTAAAAAAATCAATTTAATTTTGTACCGTGCTTATTGCATCTGTGGTTCTTCTAATTCTCTGTGTCTCTGGTGTCTTTTCAATTGCTGTTCCTGTTCCAATGCCATCTTTATATAAAACCTAAAGCAAAACAACAAGATTGAACACAAAGACATATTGTCACTTCTACAGAAGGACTACAAAACATCAGAACATCTGTTGCGTCACCTGACAGTAAAAAACAGTCATGCCTAAATCTTGTCTCTGGGTCACATGTACTACCTTTGGTGGTGTTTGTATGGACAAAGCACGTTAATAGTTCTAATTTCAAGCAATATAAAAAGGAAAGAAATCAGGTCAGCAGAAAGAAGCAATATTTGCCATAAGGATATATCTCTTTCACCAGGTAAGAGTATTAGGTAGATTTTGTGCCCTGAATACAAAGATGCTCATTTGCAAACACATAAGCAAAATATATATTCTGTTTTATAATTCACAGTGTGTTGTATTAGGTCAAATGAAATTCTGGAGGTTTTTCTGATTTTGAGTAGTAGCTTTTGAAAAATTATTTATTTATTATCTAGATTTCTAAGGGTTGATGTAGGCAAGGACTTGATAGGACCTCCAAACTTTGAACTTCAGGTATTGAAAATAAATCACAATGTTTTTAACATAGAGCTACCTCTTTTGGTCAAACATCTATCAGTAACTTTGACCAATAAAGACATCACAAAATGACAATATTGACCCTTTGGAGTCCTTTAGGAGTTTTAGACCTTAGAATAAACTAAAAATATTTATTCAGGGCATTCCTGGATTAGCTGCTAAAAGAAAACACATGAAGCTTACAAATTCAGAGCCCATAAGGGTCCTTGACCAAGACACAGGGAGCTATGTCAAAATACTATTGCCAAACAGGCTGTACCCAAGTTACTGCATTACTAAAAAATTGTTAAAAGAAATAGAGTATAAGGCAGAGGTTGGAAGCATGTGGCCCTCCTGACTTCACTCTATTATAAAACCCAGCATCCGTCACCATTGTCTATCCTAGCTGAGGCTGCTGGGAGTTGTAGTTCAGCAACAAGGTTACTAATTGTCACTGGAAGGTGATTGGTTTCTCATTCCTGATGTAATGGGCAACTACAACTCCCTTTAATGAGAGTAACACTAACCCATCCTCCCCACCCTATCATTTTGTTTAACAAAAGTTGAAGGTCAAACCAGACATTATTCTAAAAACGGATGTAACAGCTACATCTTCTTTTTACTCTGGATTGGAATTCTAGTGTGGGAAGTTGGTGGTTTCAACCCTCTGTCCCTGATTTACATTGCTAAAAACTGATATGTTTATGTCATCAGATTTTTATGTCATATCACAATGGAAACAATGAGTGGGTTAAAGTCCCTTATCACTAACTCATGGCTAAGTTCTGGATCCAAATGTGGCTTCTCTGAATTTGCGAAGGAAGGAAGGAAGGAAGGAAGGAAGGAAGGAAGGAAGGAAGGAAGGAAGGAAGGAAGGAAGGAAGGAAGGAAGGAAGGAAGGAAGGAAGATGCAGCTGCTAGAAATCTTTCAGTTACACATAGATGGATCTTTAATTATGTGTATTACACAAGAGGCTTTATTGGTATCAGTGAAAAAAGTGAAATATGCTAGCAAAATAAGACATACAAAACAGGACAATAATTTGCTAAATAATATAAAGTTACCGAGCTGAAATTCTTCTGGTTTTCTTTAACTCGTAATATTTCTGGTGTTTCATTTACAACTGTAACCTTTCCTTTACTGTCCTGTAGATCATGTTGATACTGAAGCTGTTAAGAGAATACATGTTTTCAGTGCATCAGTCTAAAAACAGTTTTCTGCTTGGCCCATCACCAGTACAGGCCCCTCGCTGCTTTCTGACTGTAAAACAGATGACGCTGTCCTCCTCCCCCTCCCAGCCCACTGCAAATGCCCCCCACACCTCTGTATCCCAGCCCTGATTCAAAACTGCTGTTTTCCAGCCTGAGCCTTCCGAAGTCCTTGAGGGCAGAGGGTTTCCAGAGCTTCATCCCACCTCAGGAGCAGCCCAGCTCTGACTGGCTGCAGTGCCCGGCACGCCCCCTGCCCTCCAGCGGCTGGTCTCGGCCCTGGGCAGCCATTTTGTCTGGGCTGTTGTGTTTTCTGCTGGCCAGCAGTTGCTTTTTTTTTTTTTTTTAATAATCTTGTGGCTGATCCAGTGATGGCCCCTTATGTAAATAAACTATCCGCAACCCTAGAAGCCATTCAACTCTTGCCTCTCCCTGTGCACACCCTTTCACTTTCTGCCCCGGCTGGCTGAAGCACGCTCCCTTTGCTTCCCACCCCTGCTCCCAGGACTGTACTGCAGAGTTTCCCTTCCCTTCTTCCCTTTATTTTTTAAATGCATATTTCAGTTGCAAGGTAGAAACGTTGCTATGTTGTTTCTATAAAGTTGACCGATCAGTTCTTCCTTGCTACAAACTTTCCCTGGAGCTAGAGAGGAAGTAGGAGCGAAAGAGCAACTTTTTCCCTGTTGCTCTGATTGTAGCATCAGAGCCACGATGGTGCCGTAAGGGGGAAAAGAAAAGAAAAGAAAAGAAAAGAGAAGAGAAGAGAAGAGAAGAGAAGAGAAGAGAAGAGAAGAGAAGAGAA